ACTGGTTTCTTCAATGGATTGGTGCTGAGCTTATGTTGAGAGACTGAATTTGGAATTCCTGGCATATCTGCCGAAGTCCATGCGAATACATAATTATTAACTCGAAGAAAAGCTATGAGCTTTGCCCTTTCCTCTGGGTTCAATCTAGTTCCGATCTGCGTCTTTCGGCTCGGATCTCTGTCATCAATAAGTACTTCTTCAACATCTTCGACTGGAGCAGCTCTGGTTTCATCTTCCAGTCGATTATCTACGATCTCAACACCCATAACTTGCTGATTATCAGAAATTTGCTGGGGGATGGCTTCGGGTGTCTGAGCTTTGCCCTTCATGGGTTGTGTTACCGAGGTGATATAACAATGCCTGGCCACCTCCTAGTTTCCTCGTAGTGTTGTTATTCCCATGGGAGTTGGGAACTTCATACAGAGGTGAGACTGGGAAACCACAGCTCGGATTTCAGTCAATGTGGGTCGGCCAATAACAATGTTAAAAGAGGAGGCCATCTTGACTACGAGGAACCGGACCGACGGGGTCACATAGGTCCTGCCACTCCCAAAAGCCACATGGAGGGTAAGAACTCCTTCTACCGGAACAGGTTGGTTGTTGAAACCATAGATAGGACCATCATACTTCTGCAACAATGCTGGATCCAGTCCCAGACTCTCAAAACAGTGGAAGTACATGATGTCTGGTGCACTCTGGGTGTCAACAAGGACACGTTGTACTTCACAGTTATTAATCATTACAGAAGTGACCAAGGGATCATTGTGGGGTGTGACAACTGTATCGAGATCAGCAGATGTGAAAGTAATGGGTTGATTCTTCCACTCAGCATCGTCAATCTTCCTCTTTTGAGCTCGGTTTTGATGTTTAACTTCTCTGACATACGGCTTTCACTGCTTAGAGCTCAATCCACCTGCTTCAAGGCCTCCCGTAATCATATGTATGATTCTAGCTAGTGGTGGGAGCGGAGGTGGGGCTTGCTGATATCCCACACCTTGCCTATTTGGGGGATTGCAGACTCCTTGAGGCTGCGGCCTCTGTTCTCTGATAAACTTCGGCTGTTTAGCTCTCTGAACATACTCATTTAGCATTCCCTTCTGAGCTAAACTTTTCAATTCGGACTTTAAGCTGTTGCACTGCTCTGTAGTATGGCCGTGATCTTGATGAAAATCACAATATCTGGTGTGGTCTCGACTAGCAGCAGCAGTTTTCATCGGGCCATGACGCCTTAAATCCATTTTATTCTTGATCTGCATAAAAATTTGTGACCTCGACAGATTAAAGGGAGTCCAATTGACTGGAGGTTTACCTGCAGATTGTTGCGGGGGTGTTGAGTTCGTCCTTCCGAATCTCGTTGGAGAGGTCAACATCGGACCTCGATTCTGTGCCATTCTCATCCTTTTCCGGCTCGGATTGTCATCTCTCCATTCTGGGTTCTGGTTCTTAGAGGAAGGTGGGTTTTGCGCCAGGGCGTATTCCTCAGCAGTTATGAATTTCAGAGATCGATCATTTACCTCGCTAAAGGTGGTAGCAGCATGTTTGATCAAACTGTCTCGGAACCTGTCATGTTTGAGACCAGAGATTACAGCTGCAATGCCCACAGCTTGGTCGAAGGAATTAACCTCCAACACCGCATCATTGAACCTGCTCATCTAGTTCTTTAGGGACTCCCCGTCCCTCTGTTTAACTCGCATCAATTCGGTAGTAGTTTTCCGGTTATATCCCCGATTCAGTCCCTGAACTTTCATTTTTGGACTAAAAATACCCTCAAACTAAAAAAAGTACTAAAAAAATCCTAAACTTCAATTTTTGGAACCATTTTAGTCCTTCCGTCGACGGAAGTGCTAGATGGCACGTTAAGTTGCCACGAAATCAATTTTTATCTTAAAAATTTAATGACATGGAAAATAATCCGATTACAATAACATTTTTATTGTCCATGTCAAAGATCTATTACTTCTCTCCTTTCCTTTTAAGTGGGTCAACCTAAAATATTTTTATATATTTTAGGATTTCGGTTCAGAGTTAACTGAAACTTTCTACAATTTTCTCTTTCCTTTTTCCAGACTCTCTCGCCCTAGATTGATGAAGGAATATAATTTGATGATGAAGTGAGTTACATATTATTGATTTTGTTTAATTTTCCTAGATTTTTCTCTTTGTTTTCTGATTTTTAATTTTTTAATTTTTAAAATATAGCCATACTTTTCTGTCTTTAATCTCTATATTCTGCTTCTCTCCACTCCAATCTTTGGAGAATAAAGATTCAAAAACAATCAACTATCTCTTCTTCTTGCATTGTTCTTAAAAAAATATTACAAATTAGGGTTCCTGCAGAAAGAATCTGGGAAAAGCTTGTCCAATTTGGGTTTTTTCTTGTAGATGCTTTATGGGTCTTGATTATTTTTGTTTGATCTTTTCTGGGTATGTATCAACGTGAATGGGGAAGATACTAACACCACCGGCACGGAGAAGACTAATTTCTCTGCCTCGGAGGCGTCGGTGATGGACCCAACTCCGCCTATGAAAGAAGACAAAAGAACAGACTCGAAGCCTCAAGAATTAATTCGAGGGCTTGTGCAGGTGATGCCGGGCCAAATCAATCCAACTCCAAGACGTCAGATCCTTAACCCTCATTCACCGTCGACTTCTCTTCTCCTTCTTCAACTGCGACGGCAACAACAATTCTTTTTTTAAACTTTCTCCTCTTCCCTACTCACCCTTCTCTCTTTGGACCCCTTCATCTCCAGATCTCATTATCCCCTTCATCTCCAGATCTAATGGCTTCCCAAGGAGGGCTTCACTCTTCTTTTTGTTCCTCTCCTCCCCTCTTCTTCCTCCTTTTCCCTTCACCTTAATTTATTGAACAAGAGAACCTAGATTTGGGTTTTCCTCGTGAGTTGATCTGGGTTCCGCATTCAATTTGAAAAAGGAGAAAGATGGGGAGGAGAGGGAAGGAAAAAGAAAGAGGAAGAAGATGATGAATTTTTAGGTTTGTGATTAGAATTTTAGAGAGGGTATGGGTGATGATAAATGAAACAAAAAGATGATGAATTGAAGAGAGGTTGAAGAAGATCGAGATAAGTGAGGGATTAGTGAGGTTGAAGATGAGGGTATTTTGGTAACTTTAGCAAATATTAAATATTGAAGATAAGGGATATTTGTGCAATTTTAAGGATAAAATACCAACTTATACATTTTTACATGTGTTTTTTCCATGTCATTAATTGAAAAAAAAAAAAAAAAGCTTGATTTCGTGGCAACTTAATGTGCCATCTGGCACTTCCGTCAACGGAAGGGCTAAAATGGTTCCAAAAATTGAAGTTTAGGGATTTTTTTAGTACTTTTTTTAGTTCGAGGGTATTTTTAGTCCAAAAATGAAAGTTCAGGGATTGAATCGGGGATATAACCGTAGTTTTCCTAATCAACCTTCTATTGGAAAACTTAGTGGCAAAGGCAGATGCCATTTCTGTGTAAGAACTAATTGACCTCGGAGGTAGACTATAATACCAAGTTCGAGCATTACCTCGCAGTGTAGAGGGGAAGATCTTGCACATTAACGCGTCAGAGGCATTCTGTGCTTGCATGCAAGAGTAAAAAGCATGCAGGTGATCATCGGGGTCCTTCGTCCCATCATATGTCTCCAGTTGGGGTATTTTGAAGCCAGTAGGATAGGGTTCCAGTGTGATGTTGGTATTCAAGGGGTGAGGTATGGAATCAGTAGCATGGTGTGGGGGTGGAGCACCTCGGTGTTCAGCTATCAGCTTTTCTAAGCTATCAAGGCGATGAGTAACATCATCAGGGATGGGTTGCTGAGCGGGTGCTATGTGGGATTGATCCTGAGACTCGCTAATAGCGGGAGCAGGTTGAACTGGTTGGGGATTCTGTTGTGGAGCTAGGGGTTGTTGAACAGGGTTTAGTAAATTAATGAGGAGATCACCAGGATTATTTCTAGCTAGAAGCTAAGCCAATACCAACTGAAAAACACCAAACTGCTGCTGCATGGCAGCAAGCTAAGCTGTCACCACGTCTTGGTTGGCAGTGGAAGTTGAATTGTGAGCTGAGGTATGGGGTTGGTTTTCATCTCCTCCTTCTGCCTAATCAACAGGAGGGAATATGGTTGGGACCTAAGGTGGAAGCTGAGGTTGAATTTGAGGTGGGATTAGAGGTGGAAGGTTGTTGGGGGGTTGACCTTGCCCATGAGGCAGAGATGAATTACCAGCTCGGACTGATCGAGTGTGAACCATGATGAAAGAGCAACTAGAAAGCTTTTAGTTCGATTCCCACAGACGGCGCCAATGTAATTGCACCAAACCAGAAGTCCTTCTTCAGTCCGCGCTTACACTCCAAGATGACCTGCAAAGCCTCGAGGTGGAACTCGGGGTAGACACTCCGATGCTTAAGTCAGCAATAATCGGGGCTACCTTGAAGGCGGAGATAAAAAGAGCTTAGGGTTGGTTTCAATTACCTTTTTGACGTGGCCTGGAGGGGTATTTATAGGATCCAATGAGGAACCCACGTGGCATGCCAAGCAAGATAATCAGAGCCTGACGTATCCATCCAGACGGTTATTCCGGGACCGAGAATTTGAGAGGTATCCAGATGCACGAGCGTCCACCATACTTACTGTGCCATTCATCGTAAGGAATCAGGTGCGGGCATGCTTATTGTCCTTGTCATGCAGCCATTTGAGTAGGGAGCTTTGGATTTATTCCTCACTTCGGTCATAAAGAAATTACTGTAGCAGTCCGAGGCTTGGCATCTCGACCTGTCCTTACAAGTGGCAATTTGGTGTAGTTTCGACGACACCTCCCCTGCTGCATTGACTTCAGGTCAATTCCATCGTCAATGGCATTAATAATAATCATGTAAGCAAGGTGGTGAATTATTGCAAGCATTAATAACACACGGAGACCCGGTTCCGTGTATGCTTCTTTACTTTGGGCCTTTTTATGTGTTAGCTTGTGAGAAACATTAAAGATATAATAAATATTTTTTATATTT